TCATAATATTTTGCTGCCACAGGCAAAACAGCAAACAGCACCACCCTCCCTACATCAGGATTCATAGTACCTTTGGCTGGCCAAGTTATTCTGGCATCTGAGGCAGCCAATACTACAAATGCCTTTAGGTGCTTCCACGCCCAGTAGCTTGATATGGACTCAGTGCTGCTCATGAATTCAAAGTTTTTGACAGCATCTACAGAACATCAGCCTCAGCCCAGTATACCTGAAGGAGCATCTCCACTCCCATTGTTCATCCCAGACACTGAGGTCCAGCAGTGAGGGCCTTCTGGCGATTCCCTCACTGCGAAAAATGAAGTTACAGGGAACCAGACAGAGAGCCTTCTCGGTAGTGGTGCCCACCCAGTGGAACACCCTCCCAACAGATGTCAAAGGCAAAAACAACTACCAGACTTTTAGAAGACATCTGAAGGCAGCCCTGTTTAGGGAAGCTTTTAATATCTGAAAGACTATTGTATTTTAATATTTTGTTGGAAGCTGCCCAGAGTGGCTGGGGAAACCCAGCCAGATGGGCGGGGTATAAATATTATTATTATTATTATTATTATTATTAAGGTGTCATCCCATTCCTACCTATTTTTAATGGCTTTTTATTGAGTTTTAAATTGGTTGTTCATATACATATTCCATTCACTCTTTAGCATATACGTATTCCATTCACTTTTTAGCATATATTGTAAAAAGTAAAGGTAAAGGTACCCCTGACCATTAGGTCCAATCGTGACCGACTCTGGGGTTGCGGCACTCATCTCACTCTATGGGCCGAGGGAGCCGGCCTTTGTCTGCAGACAGCTTCCGGGTCATGTGGCCAGCATGACTAAGCCGCTTCTGGTGAACCAGAGCAGCGCACGGAAACACTGTTTACCTTCCCGCCGGAGCAGTACCTATTTATCTACTTGCACTTTGACGTGCATCTACTTGCACTTTGACGTGCTTTCGAACTGCTACGTTGGCAGGAGCAGGGACTGAGCAACTGGAGCTCACCCCGTCGCAGGGATTTGAACCGCCAGCCTTCTGATCAGCAAGTCCTAGGCTCTGTGGTTTAACCCACAGCGCCACCCGCGTCCCTTACCATATATTGTACACATATAAAAACCAAACAATAACAATATTTCTACACAAGTGACTTCCCACCACCTCAGTGCGGCTTCTTCTGTCTTCTTTCTCTTTTCAACTGTGTTGTTTTTCCTTTTTGCCTTTCTAATACATAATATATCTTCCATATCTGATCTTTACTTTGCAAAATTTAGTCGAAACATATCAAGGGTTTTATTTGAGAACAATGTTCTCCCAGATAATCTTTTACACATTCCCACTCCTATTTGAGTTTTCGGTTTGGTTGGTTCCTAATTGCCTCTGTCATTCTTTCTAATTCCAAATACTCATACAATTTAGTTTGCCATTCTTCCTTTGTTGGTGTCCTCTCCCCCTTCCAATTTCTAGTGATTAACATTCTTGCTGCTGTTGTGGCATATAGGAACACCATTTTTTGTCATTTGTATTATCAATTGTCATAATGCCTAGAAGAAAGGCTTCAGGTTTCTTCTCAAAAGTTTGTATGGTTTTTTTAAAAAAAATTGTTGTAGACAGTGTTCCAGAATTTTTTAATTTTGTCACAATCCCACCACATGTGGTACATTGTTCCTTCCCCTTGATTACACCTCCAGCATAGATTTGACTTTGATTTATATACTGTATTTTGGCCGATTTGCTGGGGGTCATGTACCACCTATACAGCATTTTCATAATTTTTTCTTTTATTGTGTAACAGGCCATGAATTTTAAATCTTTTTGCCATAGTCTTTCCCAATCCTCCATCTGTATGGAGTACCCAAAACCTTTTCCCCAATTGACCATCACATATTTGATCTCTTCATCCTTGACCTCCCAATCCTGCAGGAGTCAATAGGTTTTTTATAATGTTTTCTTTTTGTTTTGTAGTAATTCTTTTTCTAATTTTGATGTTTCTTTCTCAAACCCAATTTTCCTGTCTATTTTAAACACTTCATTTAATTGATGATATTATAACCAATCCACCAATATCTGATTTTTTCAATTTTTTAAAAAAATTGAGTTGGTTATGTTCTTCCTTTAAAATTTCTTTATAAGTTGCCCAATTTGATTCCATATTCTTTCTCTTCACTGAGAAAGCCTCTAAAGGTGACAGCCACCAAGGTGTCTTTGGCAGCAGTAAGTTTTTATATCTGTCCCAAACTCTATATAGAGATTTTCAAAATATATGATTTTTAAAAACCCCATGTACTTTCACTTTATTGTATGCGTGCCATTCCTACCTATTTAACCCCATACCATTTAAATACCATTCCATCCCCCTCCTCCATTTAATCCATATTTACCATTTCCATTGTTTTTGTTTTTACATGGCAAATTCAGATTAAATGGGGAAATAATAAGGGACAGCATTTTGATAAGGACAGCATCATGTGGAGGTTGGAAAAAAAAAACCCTAGCATGCATAGGCAGCATCGAGTCCAATTAACTTCCCACAACAATAAGTCAAATAATTGTCAATTGCTGCCTTTTCATGACACTCAGAATCAGCTGCTTGAGGCAGACACCTTACTCTGCCTAGTGGTAGAGCTAGCCCTCCTCTCCCTTTGGGACAACTGTCAGAGGTTAAAAAAATCCTTCTTCCCTGTGATCAGTCTGATGCCAGAAAAGCATCAGTTCACCTCTTCAAATGGAAGTGGCACCTCCTTCTCATCTTGTTACACATCCCAAGAGCAGCAGTGTAGTTTAAATCCTCTTCAAAGCAATCTCTGTTATTGTGGCTCACGTTTCAGGCTGCTGGTTCACTGTGTGTATGGCCCAGTTCCTATTAACCACCCTCGCTACACAAATGTTCTCCTGTCTTCCTGACCTCATGCAGAAATTCAGTAGCAAGGGATCGTCCTCAGAAACAGAGGCTATGATACACAGCTGATACCCTGCACCTTGATTTTTAAAAACCATTGACACTGAGCCTATGGTTTCATTTTGAAAATGAAATGCGTTCCTCTTCCAACAATAGTCCCCATTCTTCATTCAGAAACAGCTGGATACAATGTCCACAGAGATACCACTCTAGAACCCCTCCTGTTTCCAGAACTTTAGAAGTAGTCACTCACTACATTTGAATTTTTATTTTGTCTTTCCTCCCATTGCAGAGCGCAAAGATTCTTTTTTTATATGTGTGAAGTCTCAAAATACTGGAAACCTTGCTGGATTCCTTGGAAATAGCGCCAGCAGCTTAATTCTCCAATTTGTAGAGAATGTGTGGCTCTGTAGTAAAAGAAAGAAAGAAAGTCCCAGGGAATGCTTACAGAGTGTAACGCTTCCTGCCTTGCAGGAAGGTATCAAATGTTTTAAATGATGTTTGCTGGCAAAGTCATATATAGGTGCTATATCTTGCGATAGAGTGCATTAACATGGCACCTGGCAAGCTGAGGTTTAAAATCCTTTCCCATGCAGCTCAAAGCACTAAACCTGCTGCCAATAGGCCAGCAATTAGCCTTGTCAACATTCCTCCCCAAAAAAATAATAAAAAAAATCCAGCTCTGTTATAGCAAGCCTAATTGGCAGCAAGCCCCTGATTCCCAAGATAGAGCAGCTATATCAGCAGCAGGGAGGAAAATGAAAGCAAGGAGGAAACAGGTGTCCAAATTGTTCCTATGCAGGGTATGAGATGTGAAAGGCTTGCCTCTGCACCTAGGACTCAGTTTCTGCATAATCTTTAAACACACACTGCACACACTATTTCAGGGCATCACTGAGGATTGTGCAAAGGAGGGATTTTTGTTTTTTTTAAAGTGGGGTATGGCTTATAGGCAGCAGTCATGAGCTACAACAAATATATATAGCTGGCTGGCCTGCCTTATGTATTAATTTTTATATTAAGTATTAATTTTTATTACAAAGTGCTTGAAACAACATGTAACAAAAAAAAGGTAATATTTTCTGAGCAGTAGTGGAATTGGTTTGTTTTAGATGGGGATGCTCTTACCAGAGAGTAATGTGTATTACCTTGCTCACTTGCAGCCTGGTGTATTTGAGGACCTTCCCGGTCTTTCCACTGATGGGGTGGACTGGACTTCTGCCAAGTCCTCCTGACCCGACATCACTACTGCTTCTGAGCAGTGAACTTCTACTGCAGTTTCAAATCTGGACCACTGTTCTCAGTAAGCTTTTCGAGCAGTATATGTCTCAGACTATAGGAAAGCCACAGATGGAACTGCCTTTTCAATAGTATTTTCCCAGAGTCAAGCAATGGATTTGCACAGAAAATCAATCTGCCCATTCAAATTTCAGCTAGTTCTGAGTCTGCTGTCATTCTTTCAATATTCCCAGTTGCTCATTTCACTTAAAGGCTCTGGGTGTTTACATCCTCGCATTTCCATTTCATGCATGTGTTATGGGATTTGCAATCTTAAACATGTGTTACAGGATTGTAATATGGAGTGTGTGTTTTGCTCCATATGTTGTATTTAATCATGGAGTGAATTATTATTGTAAAAAATAATATTTCAAAATTATACAGAGAGAGAGAGAGTGCTTTTTTCTGGAGGGGGTGCAGGGGTACGCATACTCCTAAACATTTTGTGAATCAAACTTTAGCCTTATTGGGGGCAGTATTTCAATATGAGTAGGAAAATGAGAGTACTGTACTCCTAAACATTTTTTTTTTTTTTTAGAAAAAAGCACTGTGTGTGCATCTATAGAGAGAGTGTAAATAAATCTGGATAGTTCCCAAACCTCCACGTTGATGCCTTTTTGAGGAATAGTGAAAGATGTGTGACACAACTTACTGTATAATAAGCAAAACCTTCCACTTATTGTTGGAAAGAAAGATCATCATGTTGGTTGTTACTTGTCTTGAGGGTCCCATTTGTGACAAAAACACAAGATATAGATTTTTCATAGAATCATAGAAGGGACCATGAGTGTCATCTAGTCCAACCCCCTGCAAAGCAGGAATCTTTTGCCCAATGTGGGGCCTGAACCCACGACCCCAAGATTAAGAGTCTCATGCTCTACCGGCTGAGCTTTCCCATTTGAAGGCCTCAGATAATTTTTAAATTAATATATTGTTAATTACGGTAATTTAAAACCATCTCTCTCTGATTAAGCTTTGTTGTAAGCCAATACTGGTAGAAAGGCAAAATATGTGGTTTAAATTTGGGGGGTGAGGGAACTTAACTAAGGCTTCTGTTGATGAATCTAAAGCTTGCAGGCCAGCTTTTTAAACCTATGGCTCTCATGCAGTATCTCTCTCCTTGGAGCCATTTTGATCCTTGGCGACATACAGTTCCCCTTTTCTCATGTTGATTGAAGGGAAGTAGGTTAAGATATGAACATGGGATGAGTACTCAACACAACCACTGGTCTATATGGCGATGTGCAAAACTGGTGCAGTAAGTAGTGAAGTTTGTATGGGGTGCTGTTGCACCAACCTGTCGTCTTTAGAGTGCAATCTTATGTGTGTACTCAGAAGTAAGCCCCACTGTGTCCAACGTTGTGCAGCCTTGGAGCCCTACCTGTGAGACTCAATACAGTAACGCAGCTTGCTAAACCCTGTGAAACAAGGTTGTTAAGATTGTTTATAGGTCAATAATTTTCAGTCCACATCAAGGCTGCTTAAGTCTTTAAAACACCCCAAGTGATAAATGTATTCTAGCTTTTGGTGCTGCTGACACAAGTAGATGAATATAGCATCAAGCCAGCAATGTGTTGACAGTGTATCTATTTAAATGCAAGGTGGTTCTGAAAAATACAGGAAATGTTATACACACGGAGCCAAGTTGTTCATTGGTACACTAACACATATGGTTCTTATGATCACTCGCTGTTCTAAGACCCCCTGTTAGACAACCATATGTGTTGGCTAAATTCCCTAGGAGCGAACGAACTGTATTGATGACAAACTGGCTTCCTTTTCTCCAAATGCCCTTCGGTTTCTTCATTTACGTCTCACTTATAACTTTGCTTTTATGTAGGTATTTATATCTAATTTTGCAAAATATTAAGGTACATCTACATTTTCCTACTGAAGCACACAAATATAAATATAAACATTTTTAAAGGAGGTTAATCATGTTAAAGGAAAAAAGTATAATATTTTTCTTTAACTTGCATGTGTTATTTTCCAAAACAATTCTAGGTATTAATGTAATTATGATGGAGGATTCTTCATCGCAACAAGAGTTCTGCCTAGGTTTTTAAAAAATCTTCTCTGTTAGCACCTACACGTGCAAATCTCCAGAAACTTCAGCTTCTTATGCCAGAGCAATAGATGTATTATATTTGTTCCAAATGTTTAAATATTTCAGAAGGAGGGGGGAAATCTAGTCGTATCACCAGCTGGCCTGATCTGGTACCTGAATTTTAATTGAAGAGTGGTAATATTAAAAACTTGGTGTTCCCTGTGTTTTGTGTGAGAATGGATGTATGTGCATGTATATGCATGATTTGGTGTGTGGACATGTATGAGTGTGTCATGTGTTGTGGGGGAGGGGGGTCCTCCCACTTTTCACATGGGGATGTGACTGTTGGGCTGAAAAGGCTTCCCCAACCCTGGTATACAAAGAAAAGAAAATAGCATATTATGGCCTCTAGAATAGCTCAGCCTAGAAAGAAGGCTATTATGTCAGTACACTAAAGCCAGAGGAAGGAATCTTAAACTGCTTCCCCTCCTCTATTTTATTTGAACTTTACAATCTAAATGTCCTACATTTTCTTTCTACACATTGTGAGCCTATATTATGGTAGTGCTCTACAGTTATTATTTTTCACATTCTGACATTTATTGACCACCCATCAAAAACATCCTCTGGGCAGTTCACACAAAATTGAGGGCAATAAATTATATAACAATAAAGAAGTTAAAACACTAAAATCAATACAATTATCTGCATTAAAAAGGCGGCGGGGGGCGGGGGGAGGAAACAGCACAGGAAGCACAGAACCATTCTACAATAACAGAACCCAGCTAAAAATAATTCCATGGGTGTTCTGAAGAGCCTGGGAGAATAAAAAATCTCCCACTGGTCTGAAGATCTGAAGGTAGATGCCTCACTGGGAAAGCAATCCAAACTCAGGGTGCCACCAGTGAAAAGGCCCTCTTCCTGGGGGCCACCTCATCTCTTTAGGCAGGAGACCCTGGAGATTTTTGTCAATGAGAATATCAACCTGCAGCTGCAACTGAGGTGACAGTTCCTGGAATTTTAGTTTGGCAAAAGCAGGCTCCTAGCTTAGCTGCTGAGACTTTTCCCCTCCACTTTTTCTCCACATTGCATCAAATCTATCTACGCTTCACAAATCTCCCCTTATCTGAAGCACTAGGCAGTTCATGAAGATGATGTAGCTGCTTTGCTGATACACCACTTTGGTACCTTCTGCCTGAATCCTGGCAGTACCTGGAGGAAGCTATCTTGCTCTCTGGAACTAAGGCAGAAATAATCAATTAGTTTCATCAGCAGATTGGTGGGGGAGGGGAACCCTTAATTCCAACCAGTACCACAGCTGAGAACTGCACCCTGACATGTACCTCTGCCAGTTACAGGAAGCAAAGAGTGAGCAAGGCAGTTTCCTGGATGGGTAAATATATAGAAAGCCTGCTAGACCTCTCATTTTCTTTTAAATTATGAGTGGGGAACCTGTGGCTGTCCTGATGTTGCTAGACTACAGTATCCATCCGCCCAGCCAGACCATGGCCAATGGCCAAAGGTGATGGGAGTTGTAATCCAGGAACATCTGATGAGCCACAAATTCCCCACACATTCTAAACCTTGAGACAATTGAAATACAATCCTATATATGCCTATTGAGTTGAGGTAAGTGTGCATAGAGTTGAAATGTTATGATATTTGTTATAGCGTTGTTGTTTTTTTAAAAAATTGATGCTTATTATATTTCCTTGAATGTTATCCCTATTATATGTGTGTTCCTGTATCCTAGTTTTCAGCCAGGAAAGTAGGCCAGAAGACTATATTTTGATTTACCAAAGCAACAACAAGAGGCAGAAGAAGATTTAAATACAAAGTGCAATTAACGATTGACTTGAATATAGGCCAAGTAGTCTTAATGGTTATTTACAGTATTGTAATTTTTAAGTATAGGTTTAGAATCACTACACTCTAGTGTTTTTGTTTAGATATGGAAATTAGGGCTGTTGTTGTTTTATATTGGCTTACAACGCTTCATCACCCTTTAAAGGAAAAACCTCCTCTACAAAATTCAGATTTGAGAAGTATAAATAAATATTCTTTATTTAATTGCATATATAAATATCCCTCCATTTAAATATATATACCATTGGTGTATAAAGCTCTTAACAGCTTGGGACCAGTTTATTTGTGGGATCATGATACCCCATACGTGCCCACTTCAATCTGCAGAACTGGCACTGTTACAGATACCACATAATACTTGTTCTGCAGTTGTCAGAAATCAATCTTATTGTGTGGCAGCACCTACACTTTGGAACTCCCTGTCTATTGATATCAGGGAGGCTCCTTGATATCAATTTATTTTTTGGGTGACTGCTTAACACCTTTTTGTTTAGGCAAGTCTGTCCAGACAAGTAGAAGTTGATGTACTTTAATCTCTTTTTAGTTTACTGCTGATTTCAACTGTTTTAAAAATGTTTTAATTACTTGCTTTTAAATGTGTTTACTGATAATCTTAATATTTCTTGTAAACTGCTTTAGATGTTTTGTTACAATCAACATATATACATACATCATTTCATTTGTCTGCTGCCTTTCCATAGTTAAAACCATGCTCAAGGCAGCTTACAGCATGAAAAACAACACCATAATTACAAATTTAAACGATAAATAAAACACATCAAAATGTGCACAGTCAAATTGAACAATTTCCATATAAATCAAAATAAGAGCTAATAACAGAGATACAAAAAGTTAAAATCAATAACAGCAACAACCCTCCCTCAACAACAACACTGCTAAAAAAAATACCCCAGCCAAAGAGTTTGTTCAGCAGCCTCAGCTTTTGTTGCTGGAGTCAGTCAGGGCCTTGCCCTCCCGGACCAGGTGGGACAAGGCCTACACCACAGCTATGTTGTATATAAATTTTGTTAAAATAAACGTGTTGTTATTATTATTATTATTTATTAAATTTGCATACCACCCTTCATTGAAAGATCACAGGGTGGTTCACAACATTAAAATACATGATGAGAACACAAAATACATAATAAAAACAAAAACAAACCAATAACCCCCTCTCCCACAAACACAGCTTCTAAGAGGCCAGGGTGAGCTGTGGTCCTATTTAAGTATTAGACTGCATATATGCCATACATTGAAAGGACATCTCCTCCAAAGAATCCTGAGAGCTGCAGCTCTGTTAGGAGTAAACTACAGTTACCACGATTCCTTTTGGGGAGGCGGTATATGGTTTAAGTACGTATATGGTGTGTACAGAGCTTTAGTCTGGAGTTTCTGGTTGGAGCAACATTCAAGAATGCCTTGGCTCTGCTTGGAGCTGTCCAGGGTGCTAGCCACCTTGTTAGTTTGCCTTCCATGTCTTAACTTCTGGTTTGCCTCACCTTATATATTTGAACCTGTGCTTTGCTTCATCAGGCCTTGCTTTGCTGGAAAATGACCCATACTTGATCTGACTTTGCTCCCCAGAGCCTAAACTGTGAATGTAAATTGGTATCCTTGGACTCTGACCTTAGCAAATGACCCCACTTAAGCTTGAAGCCTCTTCCTGGCCGGGACAGTACAGGAACTAATGACATGAGCCCGGAGAGAGAGGGGGCTTTATACATGATTCTGAAATTCCACTTCATCTCAAAAGTGGTTTGTGAAAAATGAAAAGGAAACAGAAGAAGAAGAAGAATCAAACAGTAAAATTGAAGTCATATTGTTTTCTCTTTGTATGTTGACACTTTAATAACATCTTCTCATTAATTCTTGTATACCCATACACACCTTAATATCTCTGCTCGGCTTCAACAGAGGAGATGACCTCTTCTGTGGGGGTGCCTGGACTTTGGAACAGGAATAGCTGATGCAACTAGTCTGGCACTCCTAT